AGAGTTCAACTGATGGGTTTGGATCAGGCAGATCCAGCTGACTGATGAACCAGTGCAGATTCCTCTGCAGATGTGAACCAGGAGGAATTTGTGAGATTGTGCGTTCAGACCACAGCAAGATAAGTGACCGTAATTTAAGTGGAGCCATTTAATTTATTATAAGTTATTGGGGCCACAGTCAGTGGTTTTTGTCTCTATGGAGAAAAAGTTAGATGCATTTATCTGCTTTATGTATGATGGGATCTGGATTCACGGTTCAAATGGGTGAATTTTAACTAAACCATATGAAAATGCAGCTAAATGGCCTAAATAATATGATTATAACTGACGGGTAAAAATAGTACATGACCGATTTTTTTTTTTTTTTTTTTTTAGTGCTGTTGGTCAACATGACGGATAACAAAAAAGTCTAGTGTGACCTCGGGGCTAAAGTAAAATAACTGAGCAGTTTATACCCGTTGTTGTTTCTTTGTTTTGTTTTTAGCATCTAACTTCTCGATCTTCTCCTAAATCATGTTTCACCTGCTCGTCTTTAAATCTAATTAAATCCTCTTATCGTTTTGGAAGTTGAACTGATAAATTTGTTAAATCTATCATAAAAGCTGACATTTCATGTTGTTCTACAGCCATAGCAGTTTGTATCGGTGTAGTAGTGCTATTATTATACAAAAACATTTTAAGACATGGAGCCATAAAGTTGTGCTTTATGGCTCCATTTGACCTAACATTTCGCCTCTTTTATATTTAACTGGATTTTCTGCCTCCAGTTCCTCTGTAAGACGGCCAAACTTCGGTGAAAGGAGTCTGAGGCTGCAGGTGGATTTCCCCTCTAATGGTCCAGTGAAGGGCATATTTGTGTTGTGTGGGATTCTCCATCCATGACATCCTCCTCCATCCTCAGCCGTTATTTCCCGCAGAGTTTCTCCTGCCGCCGTGAGCCGAAGAGAAAACTTTGATGTTCGCCGAAGCGCCTCCACTTCAAAGTTCCTCGGAGCAGGATTAACTCAGGAAGGAGATTACTGTAATTGGGGACCGTGGAGGTGGAACAAAAGGTTATTCTCTCTCTGTGTGTGTGAGAGAGAGGTGGATGCTGTACAGTGAATTCACTGAAAACACACATTCATGCAGGATATTACAGGAAAAAATCAGGTTAATCCAGCAATTCTATAAAAAGCCTGTTTGGATGACTTTCCCCAGTTTGTATCGGAAACATAACGAGGCAGAGGACACTGCGGAGCGGCTGTTTATTTAGGAGAGATAAATACCTTAATGGTGCATTAGTGCTTGGCTCACAGCCGTCACAGTCAGCTCGGCCGAATTATTTCTGTAGTGATGATAAAAAAGAATCCGTCTAGTTTGTGTTCCTGCCTGTAGAGCTGGAATCTGCATAAACTATGTTTTCACATCAACAAAGGGTTTGACGTTTCTCACCTCCTAGTTGTTCTCTAATTGTTATAATTTTGTAGATTTTGTAATTCTCTGTCTCATTAGTTCTGCGTTGATCCATCAATCTGTCGTCTGCATCTGCTTATAAAAGGTGCAGAAAAAAAATAACTTTGTTTAGAATCACAATCAATTCGATTTCAAAATGCGGTTAAGTTGGTCATCTTTGCAGCTCCTACTTGCGAGTAAACTGCATATCGCATTTCACGTTCCCTCGGGCAACAAATACCAAAATAACGCCACAGAACATAAATCCTCCAGACCACCAGGGGGAGTCGGCCAACTGATCATGTGGGACTAGACTCTCAGTAAAGACGGGACACCAAGGAGAAAGTTGAAAGGAAGGAAGAAATTATGTTTTCATGTTTTTCACAACGTTATAGACCAGCAGCATGTTTACATTGATTATATTACCGACTCCAGACTCCCCCTAGTGGCCTGGAGGACTTTTGTTTAGTGCGCAGGTGTCAAACTGCAGTCCTGGAGGCCCGCTGCCCTGCAACTTTTAGATGTGCCTCTGCTGCACCACCTGAACAGAATAATTAGGTCGTTAGCAGGACTAAATGATCTACACAAGGAGGAGGTAATGAAGCCATTTGATTCCAGTGTTTTGTACCTGTGACACATCTAAAACCTGCAGGACAGCGGAGGACCTGAGTTTGGCACCCCTGGTTTAGTGGATCGAATTTGAAGCATTTTATACTTGCTGCTGTTGTTTTTGCTATTTGCAGCATTTTCCCTTTTGCTCTTACTTCCTGTGGTTCCAGTTTTTTCTCTCTTGCTGTTTGTAGATTTTTGCTCTTATTTTCTGTAATTGCAGCATTTTTCTGTTGCATTTTTCTCTGTGTGTTTGGAGTTTTGGAGTTTGCATTGTTCATGTGTCTGCAGCATGTTTTGAACCTGCCGGTCACCATAGCAACCGTTCCATTTTTCTTCCATTAAATACATAACAGGAAGTAATTATTTTTCTTACAGTTTGTGGAAGGATTTAAGTAGATTTCTTTGTTTTTTGTTATTTGGTTCAAAATGAAGAGCATTTAGAACAAATTTTAAAACTTTCATCAGTTCCAGACAGTCATCCTTACATCCTTCACAGGACCACGAAAAAGGAAGTAAACTATCAAAAGCCTGGTGTGTTTCTGTGTAGAGACGATACACACCTGTAAATTATGATGTCACCAGGTGTCTCTGAACCATCCAATCACTGAACAGATCGTTAGAACAAATCAATCCGTTGAGGCGCCAAAACTTTCTCCAGCTGAACAGAAACTGAAGTTATTATCTTTGGACCTAAAGAGGAACGATCTAGAGTTTAGATCTAGAGATATAGATCTAGAGTTATATATCTGGAGTTATATATCTGGAGTTATAGATCTGGAGTTATAGATCCTGAGTTATCACAGATAGAAACTATACCTGACCTTTGACCTGAACCTTCAGAGCCACATAAAGACGGTTCCAAACCCGGCCTTCTTAAATGAAGAACATTTCCAGGATTAATGGACTCATAAGTGAAACACTGATTTGATTTATTGGATTTTGATTAAATGTTTATTTCTCTTTCATTTGGTGGCAGACTGCAGGAAGTTTCTATGATGTAAAGCAGTTTCAAATGCGTTGCTTGTGAAAAAGTGCTATCAGAATAAACCTGACTCGTGGGAAGTGTTCACGTTTAGCTCCTGACGATGAAACAAAATGTCTCCTTCTGTTCCTGTTGGTTTTTAGCTGCTGCTGTTTGTAAAAGACATTGGTTCTCATGTATACAACTGAGTCTGATTGTATCAGACTCTTGGAGTCTAAAGTTTAACAGTTTAACACCTTATAGATGCTGGAAAGATTTTGTCAGAGCTGCAGACCTTCTTTTAAAAGTTTTTTACTTTCCTGATAAAATGTTGAACTTCTGCTGCTGTTTGGAGGTTTGACAAGGAAGGAGGACAAATCCCAGAATATTTCAGAGCGCAGAATAATCTCCTCATTATCACTTTATTTTCTGAGCCTCTGAATCTGTGCAGTGAGCTGTTGAGCCAGCAAATGAATAACGATTTCTAATTGTTGGACTGGCTGCAGACATTATCAGCTGGTTGAATTCCTAAATGATTTCTGCGCTGCTTGATTTCCACCCAATGAGCTGTTCATGTGTGAAAACACAGAAAACCAGGTACTGGTTCTGATCCGCCCCTCGTTAGCAGTACCAGCTCAGTGAGGCGGGATCCGGATGGAGAGGAGTGGAAAAACGGTCCTGTCGGCATGCTTAACATATTTAATTTGTAATAAACTGACTGGGAGGAGCTGAATTATTTGAAGAAGAAACAGGAGATCTGCTGTTGCTTCTAATTTAAAACATCAACCACCATCTTGGATGTGAGCAGGAGAAAATTACAAGAAAAAACTTTATTCCCACATTATAACTTCACTGCTGTAATATTATAACTTTTTTGGTACCATAATGACATTATTCTTGTATTAATACAGCTTTATACATATATATTACATTTTTTTCTGTTAATTTTGCAACTTTATTTTCATATTACAACTTTAATGCTTTGCAACTTTATTCTGGTGATATTATGACCTTATTTACATTTTTTTTCTTAAAAAAAAGCTTTTTTCTCAAAATGATTTTCTCGTAATTTTATGTCTTTATTCTCTTATTATTACAACTTTATTCTCATAACTAATCATTTTCTTTAAACAAAACCTTTTTTCTAAAAACAGTTTTATTGTTACTTTATATATTTATTATCACAATGTTATGACTTAATTTTTGTTATAAAATCATAATAAAATAATCTCCGGTCTGGTTGTTATACTCCATCATAGTTATCGCCTTGAAAATTTTAATTAAAATTCTTTGATCCATTTTAATCTGACAAAAGCAGGAAAAACAGAAGAAATCTGTAAGAGGAAAGCAAACGCTTGAAGCTTGAGGATGTAAAAGCAGCAGGATAACTTTTTTAATCAGTTTGCGACTTTCCGCCACACCGGAAGCTGATTCCCGTGCAACGGCCGCCGCCGGAGCGGCGGGTCCTGGAGTCCCGCTGACCGTAAAGGTGAGACTGAGCAGGCAGCGCAGCTCGGAGGAATCACTTAGTGAAGCTGTTCGCGTGTGAGAGGCTGCGGTGGGATTTAGACTCTGAGATTTTCCTCCCGACCTGTTTGAGATTCATAGCTTTGGGATTGGACTTTAAAAGCAGGAACCAATTCCGGCGCCTGTCTGCGCCTCGTCCTCCGGAGACCCGCTGACGAGTTTGGCCTTTTCAAAGTCCGGCGTCACAAATCAAGACCCAGAACAGCCGAGAAAGAGAGACGGGGGCCGTCTTCACCAGAGAGAGCCATAAAACACAGACGGAGCTGGATGAAGTTAATAAATGTTAAATCTGGAGTTGGTGCGTTTCTCCGCTCTCCCTCATTTCAGGCTTTTGCTGCAGAAACTTTCACACCCTCTCAAGAAAGCAGTGAATCATAAAGTTCATAACTAATGTAACAGAGTTACAAATTTACTTTTTTAAATTGTTATTTATAATGAGTATTTGTGAATTTTATCTCATATTTTTATTTGCTGTGTTGTTATTGTTGCCTGCGGGAATCGCCTTTCTGCGCTCTGCCTTGTTTGTGCCTCTGGGGCTTCCGTAGCCCTGCTGAGGGTAAGGCCAGGGAAAGTTTGCTGCTGCGATGTTTGTTTTCTTTATGGATGATGTTGTTCATGTTGAGTTCTCTGGCACATGATGTTTATTATTGTTTGTTAGTGTGTTATGTAGCAGTTTTGACCGTTATTGTGGGTTTTTATAAACAGTTTTATTGTAATTTTCTATGTTTTGGCGCGAACAGTCCGTGCTAGTCCTGCGCAGCTCGGTTGAACATTGTTTTTATTTTCATATTTAGGGCTGAAGTGCAGGGAGAGTTGAAGACGAGGGTGATTTCTAAATCTGAAATATCACATTTCTCGTCATACATGGACTGTAATATCACAAATATTTCTAAATTCATCCCAGAAAAAAATTGTGATGAGTAAAAATATAAATCTGACGTTGGCTGGTTCTGAAGGATTAATCGGATCAATCGATTGTTGGAACAATCATCAACTAATTTAGTAATCGATTAATTCAGTTCTTTGCTTCCTGAATAAGAGAAAGCTTCACTTTAAAAAGCAGTCTGTTAAATATAAATGAAATAATTTGGAATATTTCTGTGTGGTCCATTTAAACGTGACTGCAGGCTGACCTGCAGTTTTTCAGCTACTTTATTTTTGGCTTCAGTCAGATTATATTCCAGTCCTGCCTCTCTCTCTGTGTGGGAAGCTGCTGACGGGTTTTCTTCTCCTCCTTCATGTTGTGCTGCGGTCTGCAGGCTGTTTCTGCAGCCAGACATCTCCACTGCTCATCTTCAAACGCAGATTCCATCTGTCCTCTGCTTTTTATTACTGTCATCATTTTAAAACCGATGTGACAAAAACGCAAACGTAGACAGATTTATATTAAAATCTCACTTTCTATTTAGTCCAGAACCAGACACGATGAAACAAAAATTTATGATTCTGTAAATGTTAGTAAGACTTTACAGATTAGAGCAAAAAAATTATCCTTTTTATTCACAGAGGAATCAGGAACGAACTGAACCATTTCTAATCTCACTTTTACTCCATTATCTGTTTAAAATGAGAGGAAAATGGAGATTTAATTAGTAAGACTAAAAATCTCACAGATCAAAAAGAAGGGAAGCTAAAATATCTGCAGACCCCACACATGCTGGACACAAAATGTTACATTTTCACCTTCAGGGCGGAGCTATAGAGGACTAGTTGCAGAAGCCAGTTGCCATGGAGACAGTTTCTTCCCAAGTCAGATTGATGCCATGCGTGTATGCCTTCCTCTCTTGCAAAAACACCGTATATTCATATATAATTGAAATAGGCAATGAACAAACTAGTCTGTTGTTAAAAATGTTACAATTAGCTAGTGCTTTGTTGCTCCTTTAAAGGTGACGTGTTATGCTTTGTTGTCAGAATAGATCTACAGATCTACACAAACATTCATTAGAAAATCATTCTCAGAGAATTAGATTCTGCCTATTTTGACCTATCAGAATGGTCCGGTTTTTTTTTTTGTCCGGATGTTTTTTAAGCTGCTTTTAGAAGCAGCTGAGAAACAAATGGAAGTAAAATAAAAATGTAAAAAAAGTGAATTTTGCATAATATGTCCCTGTAATGTAATTTAACTTCATTCAGTGTTGGGTAATTGTTGGCTTTTTACCCACATGTATCTGCAGTTCACCATCATATAACTACGCTACAATTCAATGCCGACATTCAATACATATTTCTAAGTAATTAAATAAATTCAGAGTCTTTATTTTAGCCTTAACATCTCCTGCTGATGAACATCTTTTGAATTCTCTGTGGAGCTGAAAGCATTCAAACAATCATTTGAATGGAAAGGTTAAAAACTGTTTAGAACTCAGTGAACAGTTCTAAACAGAACAGTTCTGAGAGTCTGAACTGTTCTGCACACAATGCAATATTTATCCTTTTCTGATTTTTACAGCATCTTTCTACATTAAAGGAATTTCACACACTTTGTTAGGATTTGGCAGCAACATTTATCAAAGCTCATTAAGTTTTTACCATCGATCCCAATTGAACTGGTCAAACTGGTTGTTATCAGAGTTTATGGAGGGCAAAGCTTGAAACTGTCCAAAAACACAAAAACTTACTAAAATTTGGTACAGTTTCTAGTGCAATTATCTTAGTACACTCAAAAAAAGACAAAACCAAATCATAAGTTACTTTTCAGCAAGATATAGGAACTTGTTCTAAGCCATAATTCCTTAATATTGATTTTTAAAAAGTACTGGTTTTAGTTATAATGTGACATTTTATGGTAGCCCATTCCTGCCATGAAGAAAAATAAAAGCCCAACAGAGATTCAAGGCCATGATTGTGAGATACCTTTGGAAATATTCCATATTAGACAGATCAAATGGAACGCTGTGTATATCTCAGACAGCATGCTAACTGTGGGAGGGTGGGAGACAAAACAAAAAAAGTTATATTTCATAGTTATGTTTGGACCTCATAATTATGAAAGTCACCATTTTGATTTTTGTTGGGATTTTTTTTTTCATGGCAGAAATGGGCTTCCATACATTTTTCCTTGCAATAAGTTAAATGATCTGCCAGAGGAACGACTACTTTTTCATTAATATTAAACTTTTTATTGACTTAAAACAATCTTATCTTGCTGAAAAGTTACCTTTAAGTTGTTTTGTCTTATTTTATTAACATATTTGCACTTGAAACTAGAGAAAACACTTGGTAAGATTTTGTGTTTTTGCAGCGTACCTCTTTCCTGTCGATGTTAAATCTGTGTCTCATAGAAAGTACATTTATCTGTCTGGTTTTTAAACAAATACTCTGAAAGCTGTGCTGTGTGTTTTATTCAGCTCTTCTCTTCCACTGCAGCTCTTTCTGGGTTTTCATGTCTATAAACTGAATTTTTTGCCTATTTTTCTTGGCAGGATGTATTTGACTCTCTGACTGAATCAGATTCTGGAAAGAAACAACAATCTTGGTGATATCATCGAATTAAAGCAGAAATTCAGAGAAAAGCACAGTTCTCCTGCTCGTGTTTATGCATTCGCTTCGACTCCACAGCAGGGAGTTTTTATCAATATTGATTTTTTTAAGCATTTTCTCTTAAATGAAAATTCCCCTTGAAACTTATTCACTTTGCATTTCAATATTATATATTTCTCTAGAGTTCTTATATTGGGTTTTATGACTGCAACATTTAGGGAATCTTCTTTTTATAATTTGCTCTTTATGCTCCAACACTGTGACTTTGCCGTTATTCTGCGTATTCTCTGGTATATTTACGGTTAAACTTGAGCATTTAGGAATAAAGCCGTGAACTTTAGCTTATCTGCAGCCGGCTGTCGCTCTCTCCCTCCATCCACCTCTCAGTTTCTGTAAAAGCTGTAACATCTGCCCTGCTGCGCGCCTGCTGTCCATTAAGAAGCGTTTAATACCGCTGCTCTCTTCCCATTAGTGACCTATAGTGGAGGACAAAATCCTGGCGTCGGGATGTGCAGAAGGTTTCTGAGGAGGGGCGGCAAGATTCTCTCACCTTCCCAATTAAACATCTTAGACCTTTTTCTCTACGTTTCGATTAGTTATTTTCTGTTCACAGTGTTACCCAGAATTTTTGTTTCTTGTGCAAATTTCTTTATATACATGAAAAAAGACAAAAATAACTTAAAGTAAGTTTCCAGCCTGATATGGGAGCTTGTTTTACATCAATAACTTATTAAAATTGATGAAAAAGTGCTTGTCCCATTGGTAGATTATGAAAAAGAATCTTGTTTCATCTGTTTTAATTTTTAAAAGTCTGACGACGTACTCGGACTGTTGGAGATAGAAAAAGAGGAAGAGTTCTGCAGGAGCAGCGGAGCTTCACATCAGGTCTGTGCAGCTCCAGTTCCTAAAAGTTACACCTCCTCCGAGTCCCTTTGTATTAGCTTTAATATGGAGGCGGGAGAGTATTTAGTGACTTATTAGGCTGTTAAATATTCCTACAGAAGAGTCGCCTGCAGGGCTGTTAATGCCAACTGGTTGCTAAAGCAGAAAAGATTTACATCCATGTGGAATTATTAACTTTACAAGTTGGTCCACAACGCCTGGAGAACAGAATGAGTTTTAGTTCGAATCATTTGGAGTCAAACCGCCGGTTGGTTTGACTCGGAGCACAGAGAAAGAACCAGAGCTGATGGAGTTTTAGTCTCTAGTCAGACCAGGTCCGTCGGACCTCAGTGAGTTTTCACAAATGTTTACTTTGTTCAAAATGAACTCTGATTTGTTTCCCTCCTTGGTGCAGTTTATCTGTGTAGATGTGAACAAAGCAATCGCTCCAGGTTGCAGAACAATCCTGGAGACCATTAGGAGGCGATTGTCTCAGTTTCAAATCAACTTTGGAGCGATTCGTTTGAACAAACTAATAAAAGAAGGCTGGGCGTCTTTTATTAAAGTTCCAACTCTCCACAGGTTCTCTGAAAGTTTGATTGGTTTACTTCCTCGATCATTTAAAACCCAAAAGCCAAATAATGGCATGATTACATTCTCCATGTTTTCCACTGGCTCAGAAACAGAATCTACTTCCTGTGTCTACGTTTGGTTCTCCACCAAGACCAGACCGAACGCTGTCAGTGGTTCAGTTTGTTGGAAACCAAAAGTCATTTTACTGAGATTTTAACATCATGAGTCCAAGTTGACATGCATCCTGGTTAAATGGCCTTTTCAACAAACATTCACAGAGCTGCACTCTGAGCCTGAATCGTGAGTATTGAGCGTGAATAAATAATCCTGTAAACCATCATATCTGAGATACTCTGAGCACTCTGACACTAAAAGAGCGTTTAATTACAGAAAACCAACTTTAACATGTTTAAGGTGATATTTTACTGCCTTTGTGATCAAAAACTGTCTAAAACTATTTTAGAACAAAAACCTGAAATGCATTGTTGTTTTCAGAGCTGAACTACAGCTTCCTGTCTGATCAGGAGTCATTTTAATGTGTTGCAGCAGAGACACGTCTAAAACATGCAGGACAGTCCACCTCACTGTGGCTCAACATCATATATTTAAAAGACGGTTTAAATAATGAAAAACCTCTTTGCACAAGGCAACGCAGCTCAAAAGAAGCACAATATGTGTTTCCCATCATGATGATTAAACTGCATTTCAATATTTTAAGATTATTGTTTTGGAGTTTCTGCTTTACAAAATATGTTGACAGAAACAAACACGACAGATAATAACAGTTATCGGTGCTGAGTGGGTCGGTTTGCTCAGTAGTTTTAACCTGCAGCATTTCTGTTTTTATTTTACACTGATTCTTTATAACTTTACAAACATCTTTCTTCTTCTTCCCTTCTTTTCTTGAGGATGAGTCTTTATTTTAGTGAAGAGTGTTGAAACAGCTGACTGCTGAGCCTGGATGTCTTAAATGTCTCAAATTTGATCTAAATTTTAAACATGTTAAGATTTTGTTGTGGCAGAACAATTTAATGTAGTTTTTCTCACTGGACTTTTCTGTCAAGCAAAAGTTTGAGTCACATGCAAACATGGAGGCCGTTTCTGCTGCCAGGCGCTAGCTGCTAATATACCCTGGTTAGCTAGCCACCAAAAATCATGTGCCCAGCAGCAGGTTCACAGGTTTTGCTAAGCTTGGTTGTAATGCAGCAAGTTCCCCCAACCGCGGTCTAGAATAACAGCTTTTTCAGTCTTAAATTTAATTCAAAGTGACATTAAGAAATGTCTTTAAAAGTCTTAAATTCACTTGCTGAAACCTGGGAATCGTGGGAAATGTAATTAACGAATCTTTCAGGCTGATTTAAATTGATTTAGAATCTGAGGCTGATTATTATGATACAGTTTAATGCAGATTCGTTTCATTACAGTCATGCACAGATTCACCGTCTGAAAGCAGATCCAGACCATCATTTTCTGACGTTTCCCAGTAAACAAGATAATAACTGTGCAGGACTATAACCATGGTAACCGCTGTCTGTGTTTCTCAACTGATTTCTTTATTTTTTATTTATTTATTTCGTTCTCTGACCAAGAATCTGTTTAAAGAATAAAAGTTGTGTTTAAGTGGAGGAGTGATGTGCTATTATCTCATCCTAACACTCGTCTTCCTCCTGCTCTGAATGCAGCTTCCAGGCGAGTTTCCTCAGGCCTGCCGGCTGATACCATCAGTGATTTATAGCTCTTTGTTAGCGCCGGACTCTAATGGCTCACTGCCACAATGAACGTCTCAGTTTCTCTACATCAGAATAAACACACCACAACGTCTCACTGAGCAGCTCTTATGCTTTATTATTTTTATTTATGACATAAACAACCAGAACCACCAGAACCAGCGTTAGTCAGCCTCATGCGACGGCATGAAATGGTTTGTTTTGCTTCCTTGTTTTTAATTTGAAATGTAACTCTGTCCTTTTTTCATCATCTTGTTGATGTGGCCAATGGGAGGCAGCATGAGTGACGAAACCAATGAGGAGACATCATCCTCATTGGATGATGTCTCCTCATCATCCATTTCCCACCATTGGTGGGAACAGCTAGCTAAGAAGCTAGCTGTGCTAACTGTAAAGCACTAATATTAAGCATTAGATCTGCCAACATTAAAGCACTACACCAACATGCTAACATGCTAAATTCAACTATGTTGATGCCCACCATGTGTTAGTGAAACATGTCCTACTCTGTAGTATGTCGCCACCAACAGGGTCAGATTTGTTATTGCAACCCCACCTGAGCGATTAGGAGTTTCTAACTCCGTTGGTAATTTTGGCTTATTAGCCAGAAAAGGATTCAGTCAGAAAACATGCAAACTGTTTGCAATGCATTCTGGGTACAGGATTAAAACACAGGTGGAGAAATTCAGGAGAGGAAACAGAACTGCTGCATAAAAAGACTCCAGTCATTTCAAAATAAGAGCATGAATATAAATGTCCAACTGCTTGAATAATTAACAGTCGATAGCCAAAAATTCAACACAGATGCTGAACTTTATTCTACTGAAAGATTAAAAACAGCAAA